TGCAGCATTAGTATTTACATGTTAAAAAAAAATAAAGAAATGGAAGTGCATTGGAAACAAGACTGTTAAAAATGGTAGAGATGTTATATTTTTTATTCCATAAATGTATCTTGTAGGAAAGGAGCTTCTAAAGAATTCTCAAGCATAAAGAAAGCAGATTTTTTTAGTTCCTCACACCCAACCATGCTATTTGTAAAGGCCACCCAGGGCAAAGGTTGTATAGCCAAATATTCCTCAGGGGTAGGAAATCCCTTTTTTGGTTGTAAAAGCTTTATTGTATTATGCTAATTACTTTTGCTCTTCTTTGTGATAGAAATTAGACTACTCTTTGTAGTAAGTGGTAATATCTTTCATAGGCATGCAGATAGTTTGCAGATGCAGAAGCTGTGCCCTTCCCATCATTAAATCTTACTTGCTTTCTTTCATTGTCTTTTGGTGTATACAGCTCATGTAGAGCCACTCTGCCCATGGGCATTAATCCAACAAAACACTTGAGCGTGTGCTTAACATTAAGTAAATGACTGGAGTCATTGAACTGTGCTACCCTACTTATAAGCTAAGGTGCTGTAATGAATCAGAGCTATAGATTCTGGACCAGGTCTCATGGAAATCAGTGATGTGGGCGGCATTCGCGTCACTGAGAGCCTTGAACTAATCCCAAAGAGCCAAGTTGTGTGCTGAAGAAAGCTCTACCCTCTCATTCAGTGCTTTTTTGACTATACACTTTTTTTGACTATAAAATACTGTAATATATCTTAGTATGAAGCCATTAATTGCAGTGCCTTCTGCTTTTTAAGCATTTTAAGTCTACTAAAACGTATACTTTTCATCATCTGTTGCCTCAGGTTGCCTTCTAAGATTACTGGTAATACTGGAAAGAATTACAATAAACAAAAAATGGATATTCATTTTACATTTTTATCTTGGCAATTCCAAGAGAGAGGTGATAGTATTCTTGATGATTCATTTAATTACCTCTGCAGAATCTTTATCTAACTTAAAAGTTTTTTTCTCCTGAGGACAGATCTTTCCACCCACAGATCTCCACTCAGAATGCTCCTGAAATCAAGGACATTCTGCTTCTGACTGAAATTCACTTTGATTTTTACTGCTTATAATTAATAAATAACCTTATATAGGTGTTGGGGTAATATCAATTGTTTAAAATGAGAGTTTACAGTGATTAATAAAATATGTGTTGTTTGTTATTGAAAGCTACTTTACAGCTCTTAAAATCTTTCACTTTTTTTTGTCTGATATACTCTGTATAGCAATGTCTTTGGGTGCAGGGCTGTAATTACCTAAATGCTGTGATTCACAATAAAAGCAGAGAATTTGGTGCCAAGAGACAAAACCCAGGTTAGGTGAGAACTTGAACTTGGAATCAACTATAGATTTTGGTCACTGGCAAACGGAAGTAAGTTAGGATAGATGCAGAATTGAAATAATATTTCTCCTCTCCACCTAATGTTATTGCACTCATGGTTCCCCTATTCCAGCTAAAGTGCTTTGATAGTCCAGCGTTGTCTGTCTAAGAAGTCTAAGTGATAAGTGATAAGTGATAAGTGAATTCCATGAGAACACAAACAGGAGTCAGAGAGACTGAAAAGAAGTGCAAACACAATTTAGGCACAATTTATAGTAATTAGTTCAAAACCAGTCATATTGACATACATCTGACTGTCACTTGTAATATTAGAATCATTCTTCTTCCTTCTCTCCTTCAATCTTCATTACCAATTTTATTTTTCTCATTATTTACTGCAACTTTCCTTGGGACTTAAAGTAAGTAAGGGACACCTCTTACATTTTAGAAATGAAAAACTTTGTCATGAACAGTGAGAATGTATTGGTTGCAAGGTTTCAGAGAACAACTTCACCTCTACTGTAGTACAAGATGGAAGGGCAAAGTCCAGAAAGAAGCATCCTGCTCTGAAACCTTTCCTGCATTAGCTCGTTGGTCATTATGATAATTAGATCATCTGTCTAAATAGGGTCCATATGGTGATTTTTCTGCAAATGTTTTCTTTATTTGAACACAGTGTATTACTCTATTTACAACTCCACATTGAAATTAACCTTGGAGACTGGATAATTAGAATCTGGGCTGAGTAACAGAAGAGTTTTTTATTACTCAGGGAAGAGGGGATGGAAATATTAGACATATTATGTCTTATTCTGAAGTCTAGGAAACAAGTTAGAGATAAATAACATGAAGTTGGCAAAGGACTCATATTCTTGGATTTGTTCTATTTTAGTTTCTCTGAGTACAACAAAGGAAAATGTAAGTTAATTTGGGTTATCATTCTTTAATAAAACCTACAAACTGTGTTCTGAAAAGACAATTGTGTTTGAATGAGCAGCAATTCAGAGTATGAAGGTAAGAAAAAAGTTATAATTTCAGCTTGAAAAGATACCAGTATTTCTTCATTTTTTCAATGCCTTCTGTAAATTTTTTCTTAATAACAGATTTTTATGGCTTTGAGACTGAAAAAATATTTCGGACATAGAAATAATTAGAGATTAGGTTAGAAATTAGAAACGTTTTGCATTTATTTGATTCTTTGTCATGTATTTTTTTGCTTTTTGTATGGCATGAATATCAACAAGGTTGCACCAAAATGCCTAAAAAAATTGAAAGCTTTCCATTTCATACAATGGACCAGATTCTCAGAATATTGCCTGCAAAAACATATCAGAATTTTCTGCACCTACATATGTAAAGTGTTGTGACTTTCATTTGCATAATGACTGATTGTGTTTGCAGTGTGAGACTTGCACAAATAATTGTGCAGTTAATACTCCAGCTGCTCCCCACAGCCCTAGACAACATGGTGGTGGGCGTAATGCAACAGCCTTCGCGGATGAGGATGGTTGCTGAAGACAGAGTCCCTGGGGGTAGCCAGCACCAGCCCTGCCTCAAAGCAAAGATGTGGGAAAACAGAGCAACATATATTTTGTGAAATCGAAATGGACATTTTAAGAATGGCCTTCCTGCTAGCTTCTCCTTCTGGTAAGGGAAGTCAACTGGCTTGATGCTTTCCAGCATGCTCCCTGCCGTGCAGGCACACACAGATCAGTTCAGAACTACTGGTATTGGAAAGTCCTGGAGAAGTTTACCAATAGTGTTAACATATTTTGGTTAAAACTGCAGCAAATCAACAAAACACCCTAGTCCCTTAGTCCACGGGCCATAAAGTATGCAGATGTTAGTTATGGTTCCATAGAAGCAGCCAGTTGGAAAACTGGAGCAGGGTATTCATATAAACTCGAATCCCACAAAATAACATCTTACTGTGATTTCAGCAGAGAGCAGTTCAGTAAAATTGTTATTAATTGTCACCACATTATAAATAGTCAGAACATAAAACTGAGAGAGAAATCTCCTTCATTTGCCTTCAAGATGGTCACAGTGTGGGTAAGTCACAGACTGCAGTAATCATTCACGAGCCAAGCTACCTGACTGGGCTGTTGCATCTGTCCTTGGCGTCTACAGTGGTGGCTGCGATGGTGGCCCTGCCAGGTGTGAGGAGCTACTAGCTCTAGGACCTCCGGGGCAGTGTCTCCAGCCTGGTTGCACTGCATGTGTAGGGATAGGTGCAACTGCGCAAGAATTTGTAACGGAAAGCTAGAACTTGTTTCGCTTAGGAAAACTGTAAAATGCCTTCTCAAACAGGTTAGATTTTTTTTCTTTTCTTCCTTCTGCATTCAGAGAAAGCTACAGTGAGAAGCTGTGAAACAGCTCTCTGTCTCCCTGGTATGCAGAGAGATAACATGTTTCCAGACATGTACAAGGCCTCTTTGGGCAGAGACAGTGGGGGAGAAGAGAGAGAAAATACAAAATGCTTTGGAGGACATGGGGCATTGCCTTTTGCCCCTGAAGGTCCGATGCACTGCATTGTTAAAAAGTGGTCCAGGCATCTGAAATAAACCTTTTTTTAATACTTCCACAGCCTTGGTATTCTTGGGAAGAATGCCTGCATGTTTACGTTACAGCATTTCTGAGGCAGTGTTACTGTGCCAATTAACATCCAGGAGTTCCCTCTTTATGATCAGGGGTTAATGAAGATCATAGCCTTTTATTCACTTGTGAGAAGGCTTAGATCTTTTGGGACATCTGCCCCACTTCTGGAGGGGTAAATTGATTAAAAGAGGGTGCAGGGCCTCTGTGGGCAACAAGCAGTGATTTCATGTATAATTAGTGGAGAACATTTAATTATTGTGGTATCTCAGCAAAGGATATCCTTAAGATGTATTTCATCATTTGAGCTTTATATGATTTTCTTGCCCAAGATATATATATTTGTGATGATTTCAGATACTTGACTATGTTAACTTCTCTGCATTATTTTGCTTTTTAACAAAAATGAAATGGTAGGGCTATTTCCTTTTTAAAAAGAGGTTTAAACCTGCAACCTGGGTCTTTCATGGACTTGTTAAATCTTTCATTTTGTCTTTTTTATTGTCTTTCAAAATACCTTGTATGTAAATCTTGTATTCTCTTCTCTTTTTTTTAACTGAAGTCTGCAGAATAATTGCACTGCCTGCTCAATAGAGAACTGATTACATCTCCTTCACCTATTGCTTTATGATAATGATTTCTTCAAGAGAATTGAAAAGGGTAGAATTATGAAACCAAGCATATGGCTATATTTTTCACCCAAGAGTATTTTTTTTCCTCAGTATCCTATGTCATTTGTTAAGCTAACATTTTATTTTCGTCTTCCCTTTAGAAGATTTAGCACTTTTGATTCACCTAAACAGTGCTGTAGTTTTCTTCTTTGTAGATTTTCAGTTGCTGGTTTCTGGTCTTTCCTTCAGTGAAAGGGGAAGACAAAATTCTGTAGCTGAAGAATCAACACAGTTGCATATTGTGGTGGGGGAAAACAGTTTTCCCCCTGAAGCTATAAAATGGTAAACCCCAGGGGGTGGTGACCCTTGGCGTTTGAACCAATGAGCGCTTTTGCAAAATATAAACATATCACAACCAGAACGGAAGAGAAGGTAGTTGTGAGTTGTTCGTAGAGGAAGGAGCCATGTTGTGAAGCCACGAGCTGAGGGGCCCCCAGCCACACTGGGGGCTGAGCCCCCCCCCCTCAGCCCCTGGTTGAGGGGGCTACAGGGACTTAGAACAGTGTAAGACTGGGCTAAGTATCTGTAGCTGAGAAGGTAGAAGTTTCTGCACCGTGAGCAGCAGCAGCAGCAGCGGCAGAACAACACTGGCCAGAGAAACAGTGGCAGAGAGCCAACAGATAAGAACTGAAGAAGCAGCAAACAAGCATGCAGCTGAGCAGGAAGACAGACTTGTCTGAAGGAAAGAGAGCCAGCAGCAGAGAGAGCAGAACTAAGCTCTACAGAGAGGAAGTCTGGGTAAGAACTGAAACCAAAACCCTCCAAACTCCTTGGGGACCCCTCCTAGAAAGAGGAGGATGATGGACTCTTACTTGAAAGAGTCTTGGAGTGCTACAGCACTGCAGAAAGGAGCTGAAAAGCTCAGAGAAGGAATGCAGAGGGGGTGACCTTGGCTCCCCTCCCCCCGCTGCTACTGCCAAGCTGGCAGTTTTGAATCAGAGCATGGGAGCTCTGCAGAGGGGGCTTGAATCCCCTGAAGATACGGACCGTCACGAAGGCTCCTGTACTTCATTGATATGACGTGGTGAAGTGACCTTTGTCCGGGTGAACACAGCCCACGGAAGAGAAGACCCTTGCTTGGAGACGAAGGGCTGAGAGGGGCTTGGATACCCCCTCGTGTGTACTGGCAGAGATCCAGCTACATCTGCTGCATGGAAGAAAAGAGCCTGCTGCCCTAGAGAGAATGCTGCTCTGAGAGTGGAAAGGATCTCTTCCTTCTTTCCTCCTGGACTTTTATTTGGAAGGGAGAAGAGATTCGATCCATTGTAAATACTGTTTTGTCATGGTAGAGATAGTTAAGATTGTGTGTTTAATGTATTATAATATTTATATTTGTACAGTCATTGTAATATATTCCCTTTTATATATATATATATATATATCCTCAATATATTTTGAGTCTTGTGTGGTGTCTGGAAAACCCATCTCACACTGGTTGAGATGTGGGAGGGGGGGCTAGGACTGGAGAATTGGATTTTGGGGCTCTCAAACCATGACACATATATACATATAAAGTCCTGAATTTCACCATTTACTTTTGTGGTTTTTCATTGTTTCTGCCACTACTTTTGGTTATGCCCCAGGGTCCATTCAACCTGAAGATTTAAATATGCGTTTGCTTCCAGACCAATGCCTAAATCCCTTGCTTCTTTGAAAAAAATCCTCTGAATAAAGGTCACTCTTTTTGTCTATATTGTATTACTTAATGACTTGAGCCTCCTTTTATGTCTTACTAAGATAATCTGTAAGATCATGAGTATGAAAATACTATCAGTTTGGGTGATACTGTGGTGAAGTCGGTTTTCACTCAGATATTAGTAGCAAATCTTTTAGCGGTCTGGGTATATTGTCCTAGATACCAACGAGTCTCTGGTTTCTTACTAAGAACTAATTCCCTCAAATTTAAGGACTTTTCTCTTAAACTTAAAAAATTAATTGATTTCACATTTCTGCATGTTTTCTATTTTAGTAAAACGTCACTGAAGTGCAACAGGGCAGAAGCCACTTCTGTATGTCTGTGGTGGACCTTAAACTCACTAAATATTAAATAGAATCAGGAGTACATGGAGAAAAAGAGCTGTGGGGATTTGGACTAAAGGTAACTCCTACTTTTGTGTCTGAGACTGTATGGAAAAGTGGCATAGATATTCCAGATGGACTGAAATAAAATTAAATAGCTCAACTCTGAAGAGTGGAGATATGGGGGAATAAATAGAAAGAAGAGAATGGTGAAGAGCAGGGAGAAAATTACCCATTTTGCATATAAATGATGTAATTACCCCCTCAGCTTCTCAGGCAGAAGTTGACATTCCTAATTAAAATAATTTTATGATCTTCTGGGAACAGATATACAAAAACATAAAGAGAGGGAAAAAATAACAAATATAAAACTAACCAACATCATTGGTCATTTTTAAAAAATTATTTTGCAATAGAACTGATGATGTACATGCAGTCTCAGCTTTATAACAAATTACCATGTTTGTATTTTATTTCAGATGATTCACCGGGCTTGATATAAAAGGCAGCGGCTGAATAAAACCTTTTCAGAGAAGAGAATGATAAAACCACAATACAAGGACAGGGAATTGAAAGCCTACTGGACTGAATTTCATTGTTTTCTTCTGATTAATACTGCAAATTGAAAGCCACTGTGTTTAACCTGTGCTGATGCTACAGTTGCAGTAATTAAGCATAAGAATATGGTCTTACAACTTGTGCATGCCAATTGTTTCATACAAAGCACCTGGTAAATTTGCCGGTACATATAGTATTAAATCTACAACAGAGGCGTCCACCCACCAAAGGCTGCCATTGTTACTTTTTTAATCGATCTACAGTATTCTGCCACATGTTCTCTTCCCAATTTCTGGGCAAAAAGGAAGTAAGGGAGCCTTTTCCAGATGGTGGGGTAGCAAAGGGATATTTTGTTCTAGCCATGTGGGAAGGAAGGGGTTGTGCTAAAAAGGAAGATAAAACCCAGCAAGTGTAACAAATCTGGAAAATTCCATTATCATATGCCTTGTCTTATCACTCTTACCATCTGACTGACTGATTTAATGTTGCTTAGAGACTTGACAGACCAACTTGTTAGCATTAGATACTGCACACAGTAGTTATTGATAAATCAATTGTTACCACTAATTTTACTCCAATAGGGTTGATATTTCAGTAGTCAGGAGTTGGCTGAAGGATATGTTTGTGTTCATGCATTTCCTTTCCCCTCCCCCTCCACGTAACTGGTTCTCTTTTGCATTTCCTAAGTATTTTTGGTGATTTCATGGTAAAAAGACAAGCGAGAAACCAAGAGAATAAAATTATCCTCAGGCACAAATGCAGAAAATCAGGCTTGAAAGCTCACAGGAACTGATGTTCTTGTCCTATAACCATTACTTATAGTAGTGACTAAGCTTTGAATAATTTAGAAAAATTAAAATCTTTCTTGAGATATTTTCATATCTAGTCCTCATTGATTAATTAATAAAAGCTAACAAAGCATTTTAAGCCTCAGAAAATTTTGGGTGTTATTCTGCTCAGAGGATGGGCATGGTGTCAAGTCCATTAGTTCTGAGCTGATTCATCCTGCCCTAATTAATATGATTCACTCATAGACCACAAAATAAGGAATAATCACTGTGGGTTTTGAGAGAATTAAATATTATCTACTGCACGATGTGCTTAATTCTTCAACTCCATTTACATAGGTGGGAAAGGGAAAAATATTCCAGTTATTTTATCCAGCAAATAAGTCTCAAATGTCATAAAGATGAATCCTTCCCTTCTCAATTCCTGTTCTTTTGTTTGTGTTTGTTTTACAGGACAAAGAGGGACTGGATAAAATGATGGCAGGAGTTCAAAGCATCTCTCAGGGGGTGATTTTGCACCAGGGGCTCCACAGCAGGCACTGGTGGGGTGGTCAGTAGGGCACAGAGAGTCTTCTGTGTTATCCCAGTGTAAGTCATGGTTGCTCTGCATGGTGACACCTTCCAGATTCACGACTATCAAGGCTAGGATTAAAAATGATTTGTTAGAAAAACAGAGTTGTCAATGAATATTCCTGAGTCAGAAGGCCTTTTGCAAAATACTCTTCTGTACAAGATTGTCAAGGAACTCAGCAAAGGTGTCAGGCAGCTAAAATAAAATAGCATGTATACAGGCAAATAACGGCCTTTGGTTGTTGCAATGTGAATGAGGGAACAACACAGCTCTACTCTTCCTGTGAGAGTACACGTGTAAGAAAGCTGGCAGAGAGGGACTTTGGTGGATACCATGGATATAATGATCCTGAAAGCACTTAAAGGATTGATTCTTGAAAATAGGCTGAGGCATTGAAAAGCATGTAGAATGATCCATCCTTGGTTCAGCTTCTCTCAGTAAGGGAAGGGTGCTCAGTGTTTACCCTCCTGATGGAGTTCCTTTCACTCAGAGAATCAAGATTTATTTGCAGAATGTTTGACTCAAAAACAGTTTTCCAGCTTCTTCTTTTGTAAAGGGGTATTTACATCCTGCCAAAAGTAGTATGAAGTCTGTATCAGATAGAGACTTTATTTCTGGATTATAACAGGTGTATAAAATAGTCTGTATTTATCCCTATTTCACAAGCGATGTACATAGCTGTCCACATACCAGCATTTATCTTTCTGGTTTGTGCCACTGTGTGGATAATACATCACAAGAGCAGTGGTGCTAGTTATGATGTATGACACCAACATATCATAAAAGCGTTGCCACTTCTGTGATGTATTATTCAGAACATGGAATTAAACAGAAAGATCAATATAATACAGGCCCTTAATTTTATAAGGTGGGTTAGAAGGTTTTAGATTAAAGAATATAGGCTCCAGAGAGTTTACATAGTCTCAGTAAATAACAGAAACAAATGGGAATAACTGTGATTTCATAGATGACCCAAGTTTTACCAAAATATATTCAATCTGTGGCCAGTGGAACTTTTTAAGTTCCCTATTTTTTTCAAGTCCTCTCTGCACTCAGCTGTGATGCAACCAGCTTCCTACCACATTCCTTCACAATATTTTCCACAAAACACCATCTTCACTATCTCCATGTTAGCCAGTTCTCTTTCTTACTTCCCTCTTCCCTGGATCACCACCTGGCAGCTCCTACTGCACCCAGCCCAACTTCCCAAGCATTACCAGCTCCCTCATTCCTGTTCATTAGTGACCTGGCATGCTGACTAGAGCTTAAATGGTGAATTTATTTTCCTGCTTTTTGCACAATGAGGGCACTTATTTGAGCACTCTTCTCTACTTGAGTGCTAATTATCACTAAACTGACTGAAAGTTAGTTCCTATGGAAGAACGTACCTATTTGTGAAATGTTGAAATTTTCATTTTTAAAGTTAATAGGGAGATGATGGGGTAGGGGACAAAAAAAAATCTTAGACATCCACCTTGTTTCCTTTGTGGCTAACTAAAATTGTTTTGTTAAGAACCTTTTGATTTTCATTAGCACTTTTTTCATGATAAAAATTTTATTTAGTATCATTAATATGCTTTTGCAACACTATTAATCATAGAATTTGAATAAGAAATTATTTTGGTTTTGTGTTTTAGATTTATTTCAATTCTCTAGTTCCTTCAAAAGTGCTTAGACAGTATTTTCACCTTTTGCTCAGAAAGGTGAAGTGGCAAAAAGAGGCTGTCCGGTCTTCGCATACATGAACTTCAAGAAGAAACACTAGATATTGCAAAACACGGTTAAAACTAACAGTTGGCACTTCTGGGCTTGTCCATATCTCACGTGAAGAAAAAAATCCCTCAGCAAGCCTGAAAAGCTTTCTTAGGTTCAGAAGGTGCTGCCCCTAATTATATTAACAGAATAAATACCTGGTATTAATATCAATTTTATTTTTATTGTGCGGTTGCAAACAGTCTCTACATTCTTCAATTTTCTTAAAGTTTTGGTCCAGCCACCTGACTTGTCTTCTCTACTTGAGTATTCCTTTTATCAATCTCATTAGCTATTGTTTTCTCCTCTCTACTCAAAACTTTATAGTTTCAGGATAGTAAATTTATTAACGTTTTTTAGGTAGTGTACACAATTTTTTTCCTGCATTGATATTATTTCCTTGAATCCTTGAGGATATTTATACCGTTTTATATCCTCTTAATCTCTTTTTCTCTTAGATGTGTAAATTAAGTTCCCTTCCTTGCTCTTCCTCTGTAATATCCTCTAATCCTTGAATAATTTCAGTTGTCCACACTACCAGCATATATGTTTTCTGGGGGCTTGGAACAAAAAAAGAAATTAAGGGTCCCCTGTCTGTCACAGCATGCTCTGCTGTGAGCATGCCTGTTAAGGCTGGCCTTAAATGAAGGGAATTGTAATTCTTCTTGGACAGCGGGGCCCATTTGATTTATTATATATTTTTATCAGGTTCTGGTGCTATTCACAGTGCCAGACACTGTTTATGCATTAGATGCTGTATTTCCCTGTCCAAAGACCTTAAAAGAGAAGACTTTAATTGTGTGAGAAACTCCTAGCAGAGACCCCCTACAGAGAGAGCTACACATTAAAACTTCTCTGCTATTTCTGTTCCTTTAAAATCCATATTTAAGACATATAATGTTATGTGATAAATGGGGTTTATATTTTTAACGTATTTTGTCCTAAAATTAATGTTTCCATAAGAGCATTTCTGGGACAGTGAGAGAGGAGGGAAATAGTTTGGATCATGCAACATCCAAAACCACTGCAGTTTATGAAGGTCATGGCAATTTATGTCTCTTATCCCCAGATAATACAGAGATGTTCATCCAGGTCATTTGGATGTAGGTATAGAAAATTTTATCTAAGCCAGAGTAAGATTATAACATTGGTCTCCTAGCCAATGATTTACAGTAACTGTCTTCTCTCTGAGGCAAGACACTAAATCTGCCAGAAATGCTTTTCTTTGTTTTCAGATTTGAGTCTAAACAAATCCATACATGTGACCAAAGTACTAGTAATGCCAAAGAAAAATATGGATGTGCAGATAGGCCACTGAGGATCGATCTTCCAACGACCTCCTCTCTCTTGATGTTATCATTGTAAATGAATTAGCACAAATGATGTCCTTGATTACATTCATTCTGTGTGATGTCAGAGGATTTCAGTATTAATAGGTGTAGAATTTCTCCAAGAATTGCCTATAAAAAAATGATAGTTTGGACAGAGAACAGAATTCTATATTGCTGTAGCATAAAAGAGAGTGACTTAATATAGTGAAAAATAATTGTGTTAATATTGATTATGCTGTTGAATACATATCCATGTTATACAAATGTAAATGAGCAGTGTGATTGACACTCATTTCTAAGTTTCCTGTATGTACAGAAGTACATATACTCTGTAATTTTTGTTTGTGTACTTGAAAGTACCACCACCTCTGGGAAAAGATACTCTTTGGAAGCCTATTGAAGCTGTTCAGACATGCAACAGAATGTTGTCTCTTCTTAGAAAACCTGTAATTTGTCTCATCAGTTATCTGTGATTTTATGTACTGTGTTAATAAGAAGTCAAGAGCAGTGGGACCGTCTTCTATGGTAGTAAAGAGACATGAACTTTTCAGTGTTGCTTAATGCAATGTTTCTCTGTAACATCATGCATCTGTCTCTCTACCTTATTTTAGTCCTCATCATTCCCTTTTTCTGCAGTTATAGAGTGTATCTTTTACCTGTTATGCAATGACCAACAGTTGCTACAAATAAAACTTTCCTTCTGTGAATCCATGTAGGTTTTGTTTTGAGGTATACTGGGTACGCTGAAGAAGTTACTTATGGTAATATCATGAGCATTCCAAAACATAGCTTTTCAAGATAAATACAAATATGTATGTATTTTGTCCAGAAATACTAAATGTAGTGAAAGCTGGATGTTGCAATTATTGGAAGCACATAAAAGGCACAAAGAGAGATGAATGCAGCGAAACTGACAATCATAAGTAGAAAGTCTAATGTAATTTCCTTTTTTAGAGCTCTTTTGAAGGTAAAAAGGTAGATGGGAGCCATTAGCTTTTAACGATTTATAATGCTTTTAAGAGTTTCCATACAACGAGCAAAGAAAATGGTATTGGTCTGTAATTCACAGATGGTCATTTAGAAAACATACCTTCTGAGGTGTTTATTGTGTAAACTCTTTATAACACAAATTGAAATTTGATAAAAGGAGCAGAATCATTTAGCAGTTATGGAAGGTACACAGTTAAATCCCATGTTTTTCTCTCAGAAAAGAAATCAGTAAATATCAGCATGTTGATTTGCAGAAATGCATTTTTAGAAAGACTTGTGGGTTTCTTTTGAGAATTTTCCCATTTGCAGCTAGTGCTATCAAATTAAATCCAAAGTAAAGTAAATCAAATTAGTACATATATTGTTAAAATTCAAAAAACCCAACAATGTCCTTGAACTAAAATATATCTAAATTCAGCCTAGCTCAGAACAAAACTTAATATTCTTTGATAAAGGGAGCATGAGTGGTAGGGATTGCTACTAAGCTTTTAAAGTACTTTTATTTGCTTTAAACTGCATTTTTGCATTCAAGTAATATTATTATCTAACAAAACAAAAGGATGAGTGCACATTTGCTTGCAGGCTGCTTATACATCTCTCCTATCCAGGGAATCCCTAAAGGAATTGGAGAAACCAGGCCAGCTCTGGTCAGGTTTTTTTATTAGCACTTAAAGGGAGAACTAGAATAACCTACACCTGCAGTGTGCAGCCCTTAGCAACGAGGTCGACCATTGCAGGTAGTGTTTCAACCTGAACAGAATCCTTCCCAAGGAGGGGCCACCTGGCCTTCCCCTACCAGAGAGGACTCAGCCCTTCCAATTGAATTGGGGTCATGGGGTAACTGGGAAAAAACAGCATCAAATGTTGATCAGGCTTAGCAGGTGGTACACTCGAGCATTCCCAACAGGAAGAACAGGCTGAAAGTGAGTTTCAAGTGGGTTTGGACGGAAGAGAACTTGAACCCACTTTTATTCCACTTTCTGTAAAAACTTTGCTACTAAATGAGCAAAGAAAATTAATTTGTATTGTAATTTATAATTGTTTAGAGTTATTTCAATTTAACAAAGAGAAAAAAATGGCGCTCAGCTCCTAGAAGAGGCTGGGAAAGTTTCTTTAGCCAGATACTGTTCGGCGAGCAACC